GTGATGTGTGTGTGTGTGTGTGTGTGTGTGTGTGTGTGTGTGTGTGTGTGTGTGTGTGTGTGTGTATAAAACGCGCATTTCTAAAAATAAATAAATAAATAAATAATATTCCTCACACCACACTTTATTTCAGTTAACAAAAATGTTTTTAATAGTTTTAGTTCTGTGTATTTATTTTTATTTAATATATTTTATTTTATTTTTTTACATTTTGAAATGTGCTTAATGGTTATGAAAGTCAATGCAACTTTTATGCAAAGTATGAGTTTATATTTATATTTTATTTCAGCTTTATTTAAATTATTAAGATTTAGATTTAGTTGTAGTTAAAGATAATAACCCTGATGGGATCTGTCAGGATTTTATGGAATTTTTTAGTTGATTTTATTTTTCTCTAAAAACATGCATTTTATAACCAGGAACATGTATTAGAGAAAAGAAGCTGACTGGTTTAATGTACAGTATGTGTGATTTGTCTTGTGATGTCATGTAAAACAACTAAAATAGCAGCAGCTTAATTATCTCTGAAGATCAGTGTTGAGTGGAATCCTGTAATTATGGTAATTCTGCTGTGATATAAATGCTGCATATTTTTCAAGTCATACGCAACAATTCAGCATGTAAAGCAGTTTGAATCATTATCTTTGCTTTCAGACTTCAGTGGTTCGTGTTTCAGCTCATGAGAAGCTGTTTGTCAGGTGAAGCTATTTAAAGCTCATGTGAGTGGGGGTTTTGTGTTGAGAGACCGGTGGTCTGCAGGTCAGAAACGTGAGCGTATCACTTCAGCCGAAGGGCTTGAAATCAGAAGTTCACAGTGCAGTGATGAATGAGAGCAGCTAATGCCTTCATTAATTATTAACTGACACATACATTCAGATGTTGACAACCACAGTCCGATGGGTTGAATATTTTAAATTGCACTGTGAATATTTGAGAAGGTGGCCTGTTGCTGTTGTGAAACCTTAATCATATCTTGCAGTTATATGATAAAGTGTCATGTTAGCTTCTTATGTTATTTGAATATGTTCTTAATAATGTCCTGATCAGTCAATTTGTGGATTTGTACAGTCCAATATTTTAGTATAATTGACCATTGTTTCCATCTGTAAAGAATTGATATGCAAGGGATACTCAGTGGATGTCAGGATTTATTTTGATGTTATTGTATAATGAGTGGCGGATGTACATTATCACATCTACCAAAAATAAATAAATAAATGATATATACACTACAGTATTATTGTGTTTAAATATTTAATATAATATTTCAAATGTAATATCAATTAAAAATTAAAATTGATGTTTTATATTTAATATCTTATTTTTAAAAAGACACAATTTGTGTCTTTTTTATTACACATTCAAGCATCGTATTACAAGCTGGGTCGGATTTTCTTTTAAAGGGGTCATATGATGCGATTTCAATTTTTCAGGCGGGGCATAGAGGAGAAAAAATAATGTACAGTATGTGGAAAATAATGTGTTTTTGAACCTTAAACCGCATAAACACATTTCATTACACCAAATACACAAAATAATGTTCTTTTTAGCAACATCATATGACCCCTTTAAATAAATAATTTAGTCAGGACACATTAAATTGATCAAAAGTGACAGTAACAATGTTTATAATATTACAAAATATTTCTATTTCAAATAAATGCTGTTCTTTAGATTTGTCTATTAATTAAAAAATCCAGAAAAAGTCACTTTTTCCAAAAAATATACCTAAGCAGTAAAATAAAAATAAATACATAAAATAATAAATATAATAAAATAATAATAAGACTGTTAAAATATAATAATAAGACTGTTCCCAACATTGATAATAATCAGAAATGTTTCTTGAGCAGCAAATCAGCATATTAGAATGATTTCTGAAGATCATGTGACACTGAAGACTGGAGTAATGATGCTGAAAATTCAGCTTTGATCACAGAAATAAATTACATTTTACTACATAATCACAAAGAAAACAGTTATTTTAAATTATAATATTTCAATTTTTTTCAGATTTCACTGTATTTTTGATCAAATCTGTATGAGAAGTAGTAGATCACAGTGTTAGTTTAGTATTATTATGCAAATATTTTTGACAATGTTACAATGGACCAATCACAATCAAGCACAGTATTCCATATATAGTTATGGTTCTACCACTTGAAACCTGCTGTGTGGCTGCTGGTGTTTTGTGATGAAGTTGATACGAGTCCTCCGTGTCAGTCAGAGCTGATTTGTCCTCACGGTTACACAGGGAGCGAGAGGTTACGATGCATATATGTTGACATCTCTCCTCACGCTAGCTGCACGTTATTCCCTGTGCTTGACAACTGCAGGAGTTGAGTAAACTAACTTACTGTCATTTCTGAGCTCTACTTCCCCGTTCCTCCTCTAATGGCTGTCAGACTCTCGTCTCCTGTGTGTGGATTAACATCAGCGACAGCAGCTGCTGTAGGTTACCCACAATCCTCTCTGACCTTTATTATGAGGCCAGCCAGAGTCTATATCACAAACATCGCAGCAGGCCGCTGAGGCTCTGTCGTCTGTTCGCGGTGTATCCGCACACGTGGGCAGGTTTGTGTGTTTTGATCTTTTCTGACAAGTCCGGGATGAGCTCGACTCGCCGTGTGCACTTACAAAACAGCACTGATCACTTCTTCACTCTCCTCTGTCCTGTCTTGTTCTTTAAGCTCCCAGGGAAAAGTTTTAGGCTCAGAGGATGTTTTTTCACAGCTCAGGTCCACATGAAATCAAAATTGACATATTTACTTGCTTAAGACGTGATCTTATTGTGAACAATTCATGTGTGCACGACATGTTATTCCAAGTAAAACAATTTGCTCTTCATTTAATCCAATTGTCTTGTGTAAACAGTTGAGATATTAAAGGCATCGCATTTGTGATTTTTCCTTTCATACAGTGTTCTGCTGTTTTAATATAACATTTCACGGTTTCTGCAGGTCTTAAAAATGTCTTAATTCACGATTTCACAAATTAAGGCTTTAAAATATCTTAAATAGGTACAAAAAGTCTTAAACTCATGACGTCATGGCATTAAATGTTGCATGCACTGAAAAAATGAATATCTTCCTCAGTATTTTTGTCTTCCAGTACAAATATCTAAACATCCTTCCATCAAGATACATTCACTTGAGATGCTAACTGGAGTCTTGTTTCTGAGAAACTGAACAAGACTAAGTGAGTTTATGCTTAAAACAACAAATATCTGTCAATGAGGAATGAAATCTTGTTTCCCTTTGAATTAAGGTGATTTTTCTTGTTTTAATCATAAATTCACTTCTTTAAAAAAAAATAAATAAATAAAAGGCTTCTTATGTCATTTTGCTTCTCAAGTCAATGTATCTTGATTTAAGAATCTTTTAGATTCTTATTTTCAATGGAAAATTACAAAACTACTGAGAAAGATTCCCCTTAATTGATTCCTTTTTTACATACTATACTATTATATACTTGGCTTACTATTATAGTAAACATTTTTATAATATAAAATTTATATTTTGAATTCGTTTGAATTTTTATTTTAGTATTTATTTATTTACTTACTAACTTTATTTTTATTTCAGTTTTAATTTAAGTTTATTTCTGGTTAGTAATTTTAATGCTTTAACTTCAAATTATTTCAGTTCATTGCCAAGACAACATTTCACATTTTCATTTAGTTTGTCTTTCATCTAATATTTATATTTGTATTTTACTTAAATTTCAATTGACAAAAAATTTATGTAATAATTTGAGTTTTATTTGTAGTTTATGACAGTACATGCTGGTGATGTTTGTATATTGTCTCCAAACACTAAAGCTCAATATGTTTCTGTGCATGACTCGCTGTTGACTCATGACTCTTTCATTTTTCTTTTTTTTCCCCTTCATTTGCAGAACACGACAAGCATCGTCTATGCAAGAGCACAGAGTACATGAACTTGCACTTCAAAGTCAAATGGTTCCACAACGAGTACGTGCGAGACCTGCCTGCCTTTAAGGGAATTCCTCCAGAGTATTCGCTGTGAGTTTCCCTTCACATCTCTCACTCGCTCATGGGTTTCTTCTGAAATGAAGAGGAGAGTCAGTAATGTAAACAAAAAAATCATGCTTCATTTGATGTTTAAGCAGTTTAGAGGCATGAGGAACTAGTTATCTGAGATTATCAACAACAAACCAGTACTATATTTGTTTATACATTTTTTCATTCATTTAGAAAAAAGTGCACATGATTTATGATTGTTTCTAATTGAACAAATGTACATCAGTGGGAGGTTTTCACCATTCAGTTGTGCATTTCTTAGGAAGTATAACATTTACAAAACCACATCTAGATGGCACATCTGCTATATGACCGAAATTAATTACTAAATTAAGTATATTTTTGTATGCTGATAGCAATATTTATATATATATAATTATAATAACATTTATTATATAAATATGATAATATTTTATACATTTTTTAAACATTTGTAACATTTTTGCATTCATTTAGAAAGGTTTTAATTATATTTTAACATAAATCTAAAAATAATTTTTAAAATTGCACATAAAAAGTCACTCATTCATTAATGTGAGTTATGAGCGTGGAGAGGCGGGATGACAGGCGGGATGAGACATCAGGGAAGAGCCACACAGCTGTCAATCAAAAATCTCCTCCAGGAGAATTGATTTTGTCATCAAAGCGAGAACAGCCCCGCCTAGCGTATTTATTAACATAAGTGACACAAGAAGTGAAAAAAAAACGGATTCGCATTTGCTGAAGGAAATGCCAGCGTCTGCAAGGCAGCAAAGGAATAATGCTACAGTTTTAGGTATGTTTCGGTTTAGAAAGGAGGCTATAAATGGTTAATAAATATATGCATATGTTTTAATACAAAAGGCCAATTCAGTATGCAGTGAGATGAGAGAAAACCACTGCATTTCATTATGTAAATATTATGACGATGTCATCATGAAGATTTAAAAAATTGCAAACATTCTAATTTAACAACTGCACATCAGTGGGAGATTCAGCATTTAATTATTCATTTTAAAACCACATCTAGACGGCACACCTACTACTATATATGAGTAATATTAAATACTAACTTAAGTTTGAATGGAGTTTGTGGGTTAAACAGTTCAAGCTGAATTAATTGCAGATATTTAAGATACTTGAGACTCTCAGCTGTTAAAATCGCTCAGCGTGTTTCCCATCACTCAGTTATCTTTCACTATTAAAATACTGTGATTACTATGTTATTCTTTATATTTTATTTAACAGAGATCAGTTACCTTTCCTGCTAGTACACTACTGGAATTGCAACAGGCATTATAATCAGATGCATATTGCCTGTTACACGTAATTTAATCAAATGCATATTGCATTTATTTGTTCATTCATTCATTCATTCAGATGCATATTTCCTGTTATACATAATTGAATCAGATACGTATTGCATTTTAAAAATTTAATTCATTCATTCATTTATTCATTCATTAATTTTTCATCAGATGCATATTGCCTGTTATACATAATTTAATCAGATGCATATTGCCTGTTATACATAATTTAATCAGATGGATATTGTATTTTTATTTGTTTGTTTGTTTGTTATTTTTAGTCAGATGCATATTGTATTTTATTTAATAATTATTTTCTGGGCATAGTTTTTTTTTTTTTAAAGGGGTCATATGATGCGATTTAAATTTTTCCTTTCTCTTTGAAGTGTTAAAAGCTCTTGGTGCATAAAGAAGATCTGTAAAGTTGAGAAAGATTAAAGTTTCAAATCCAAAGAGATATTCTTTATAAAAGTTAAGAGTCAACCACGCCTACCTAAAACGGCTCGTTCTAACACGCCCCCACATGTCTACGTCACGATGTGGGAAGATTTGCATAACGCCACCCAAATGTTCACGCAAAGAAAGAAGTCGTAACTTTTATTCTCGCTGTTGCCGCCGCCATGTCGTGAAGCCGCTGTGTTTAGTTGTGAAAGCGAAACTACTTTGTTTGGTCTTCCAAAAGAGGATGATATCTGCTTCGTCATGTCTGGAGCTGATCCGTGCTGGTTGCTGAGGAAATACTACACGTAAAAAGACAGTATAAGTCATTATAATCCGTAATTATGTCCCCACTGGATGCAACAAATGCCTCGTTTATAATGGGTTTTAATATTTTTGTCTCGTCACTCCGGCCAGCGGAGCAGGGCATCAACAGTATGGTAAGGGGCGTAACATTTCCGTCACACGCTTGAGGTATTCAGCCAATCACAACGCACTGGATAGCTGGCCAATCAGAGCACACCTCGCTTTTCAGACCGATGAGCTTTGTAAAAATCGACGCGTTTCAGAAAGGTGGGGCATAGAGGAGAAACAATAATGTACAGTATGTGGAAAATAATGTGTTTTTGAACCTTAAACCGCATAAACACATTTCATTACACCAAATACACAAAATAATGTTCTTTTTTAGCAACGTCATATGACCCCTTTAAACAACTAGACACTAGTAACAGTCTCAATATCATAATCTCATTGTCATAATTTCATATTGTAAACTCCCTAGAAAGCATGCATATGTTGATGAGATGTCTGCGAAAACATTGCATTTTAAATGTCATATTTGTGAACAAGCACGTGATAAAATTCCGAAAAGCAAATACATATACATTCAAGCCAATAGATGTCTGCAAGAACATCTGCTAAATGTCGTCCAGACATCCAAGGACATGTTGCAAATGAGAAATCGCTGTAAAAATTACACCTCCTACATGTCTGACTGATCTCTCTGCAGTGTTCCTGAGCAATCAGGGATTATCTGTGAATGTGTGGTTAGGAAACCTTCACATAGAGCAATCCAGATCAATATTTAAGATAGTAAGCTAAATGCCATCATATTAATTCCCTTATTACTGTCAATAACAGTGAGCTACTGCCATCCGTACAGATCTGAGTAAACAGCAAGCTGAGGTTCATTACATTAGCAGAGCTATTAGTGTGATTCTGCCTGCCACCAGCCGTCTACAACGCTTCACTTGATTTAAAAATATGTTTGTCTCATTTCTGCTGGTCTATTACGATGTTCAGTGACTCGACAGAGCAAATGCTTGTTTGCCTAATGCAAGTGAAATGTTTTCAGAAGATGTTTATACTGTTGCTGAAAGTCTTAAATATCCTTTTATAATCTGTTCTACTTTATCTGTAACAGTAAATTGTATTTATTTGAATAAAAAGTGATATATATATATATATATATATATATATATATATATATATAATTT